TATAAATGTATACACAGGATGCAAAAGAGGCTATAGAGTTAATCAAGAAAATAATTGATTTCCCAGATGATAAAAATGTCTAGGCTTGGAACTGAAAGCAAAAGACAGAGATTTTTGAAAGCGTAAGGGGTTATGTATGTTTGTTTTTTAAGTATTCTTCTGGGAAAGAGGAGGAAAAAATTACTTTGTGAGCTGGAAAGACAATGCTGTATCTTCAAAATTCAAAACTTGCTTTTAAGTCGTATCATTCATACTGCAATTCGCATTATGCAAGGGTGCTCCATGGTATATATTCAGTAGACTTTTCCTTGCTTCCAAGCCACGTATTAGAATTTAAAACTCCTTGGATTCTGTAGGTTCCACAGGTGGGTTATAGAAATATGAACACCCAGAATATATGACAATGCATTTATAAATGTATATTGTATATTTTCCGTATTAACTGAGGGATTTTTGAAGTTGAGTCTACTCTGCATATAATGTACCCTTAAGATCATAAATAATCAGGCATAGGTATCTGTGCTTGAAGTTGTGAAAAGCTATGGATTTGTGCTTTACCTTCTCTTAGAGGATGTGCCACATACTTCTGTTCAGAAATGAATAGCATGCCCTGGAAGTAAAAATGATTCTCATGCTTTACCTTTTATGGGTTAAAAACCACAGAGTTGAAATATAGTTTGCAAAATATACTGCAAATATGTGTAAGAAACAATGCCTAAACTTAATTAATATGCTGAGACATATAGTAAACATATAGCTACTCAATTGAGAAAATGAAAATCAATCTATAAACATTTTAGCTAACACTGTGCTTTCCCCCAGAACCTGGTGTTTATTATTGTGTACTTTAATAGGAGACAAGCAGTATCAATTGGAAAAATGTTTCTTAGTGGATTGAGAACAGTGTGGCTTTCTAATTCCTAAGTGGGAAACCTAGTTCTTTGGTTTCTTTGTTCCTAGTTAGGCTAGTCCCCAGCTATTTTAGCTGAACATTTTACATACTAATGGAGTCCAGGGAAGTGCATTTGGCAGCTGTTCATGGGATAATAATGAAATATGCTATTTAGTGCTGCATGCTGCCACTGTAAAACATGGGGAGTATTTTATAGAGATCTTGGTGAACAGAGCTGTATCCACTTTAGGTTTAACAAGTTTGTGAACCTGAGTGAGGAAGTTGTATTTTCCTAAGAAAATAACTAGTACTCTTGTCTTACAGGTAAAGAAAACGTGCACAGAATCAGATGTTTCAGAACCTCAGAATTCCAGGTATAGTTAAAATAAAGCCCAAAATTCCACTAAGAAAGAAATTTTAATTTTGGAGAAATTAGTAAGATGTTATACATCAGATAGAACTGTGCTTTGAAATATTGAGCTTCTCTGAGAACTTATCGTTATGGAAATTATATGTTATACCAGCTACAGTATTATTGATCATAATATTAATAAAAAGGACTGACTTTGAAGACCATTTTAAAGAATAGTAGAAAAATCTCTAGAAATACTTGAAAAGCTAATCCCTTAGCATTCATTATTTTAAATTAATCTTATTTTTTCAATCTAATCTCTTTTGATAAATGTATTCACATCTAAAATTGTGCCAGACACTGAATAACTGTAAACTGTGTTTGCCAAACACACACACACACACATACACACACAATATTTCTTTTTCTTTCCAATGAACTGTTGCCAGATTTTGAAAATCTTATCAAATTAGAAACCTAAACATTAATTTGGCATTCTCTTTCTGGTTATTTGGAGCCCATAGAAATGATGAATTATAGTGGGCAGACCATTTCATACAGGAATTTAGCACCATTTAGTTGTTTGTGGTTGGACCAAATGCCTGGCAGATTTTTTAGGCCTACACATTTTCATTGCTTTCATTTCAAAATCCGGGCCTCAAGTTTAAATGGATGTGTAAAAGTATTGTAAATATCATGACAATAATAACATGTCCTTACTATATTGTTAATAATATGATTTAACCTATTACATTAAGAAATTTGTATTTAATTTGTGAGTTGGGTCTCAGTTTATTTTGTCCTACTCACTGCAGCATATATAATGCATGTAGTGATTTTCTTGGTGTAATAAAACAATACAAATCTAGGTAAAATGTTAATAGCCACTATGTTTTCCTTTTGGAGAATAAATATATATTATTCACAGTCCATTTACAGTTTGAGTAATTCTTCCTTTGTTTTATGTAGTATGATATTTCTATAATAAAGTCCTATACATAATTATGTTAAAATGATTGTATGTAGTCTTTCCCTTCAGATCATTAAGAACGTATAATGACATAGGATTTTTAAGTTTTGATATTTGTTCTTTATAATTAGCTCTCTAAATGGAACCAGATAATTTTAGCTTATTTTGGAGCATTAGGAAACGGGTGAGCCATTGAATTTTTTCCTACAAAGCAGAGTAATTCTAGGTTGTATAAAGAGAAGGGAAGGATGGAGTTCTATTCTATGTAGGCACTTTCTTTCTAATTATTTGCTGACCTGTATGAGTGACCTACCTATCACTTACTTTGTAAGGATTATATAAGTAATTAAAGAATTTTTGCAAGCAACTGGTCTTGAGGCTTAGTAGGAATAAACAGCACTACAATCATCCTTATTATTAATATTTCATATCAAAATCTTTTAGCCTTGAGGCCACTGAGGATATTTGGGCAGGTAATACTATACTTAAGTAATTTTATTTTATTATAAAGAGAAGGGAAGGATGGAGTTCTATTCTATGTAGGCACTTTCTTTCTAATTATTTGCTGACCTGTATGAGTGACCTACCTATCACTTACT